GGCCTTCATTACTAACATCATATACAGACATAAATCCACCTCATCTGTATTAACGCTGGTATGAAAAGATCTGCTTCCATGGTTTTCCCCACGTGTTGTCAACATGAATGGAAGTCCAAAAACACGAGTGGGCCAGACTAGGATGGAGAGAATTACAGGGAAATACATTCCAAAACCTTAATCTCTGCTGCATGACTTGTGACTGCTGGATATTTTTCCCAGTAACTGCAAAGACAGTGTTATGATGAGAACTACATGAAAGGAAGAAACCTGCACTGTGCAGTGACGAGAGGCTGTGCTAGAGATAGATAGATCTCACCACATGGACTTTTTGTAGGATAATACAAGGCCAAGGGAGTGACTGGCCTGCCTGCAGTCCAGTTTTTTTTTTTTACTTGTTTATGATTATCATACAGAATTACTATAAGATAAACTTTAAGAATTTAAGGAGGAGTCTTTTTGAAGAAACACTTTTTTTTAGTTAGTGGGGTTGTTAAAGTTATTGCCCTGTTCACTGAAACAGTGTTTATTTGTTTGTTTTCCTCCTAGAGCCTTTACCATCATTTGACCGCTCGCTTTCTCACGTTGAAAACCTTAGACAGGATGCATGTCTGGCCTCCCAGAATGCACCTGAAAGCAATGCAGTGAGCAGCAACAGTCAAGACTCTTTAGTAGAATTAAATGGTTCAGAAGTCAGACAGAACAATGGCGTTGCTTTGCGGGGAATCCTCAAGCAGTGGTCCACTTCCAGCTCCATGGATACTTCAGCCTCCGATCTGGACCTGGATTCTCCCACTGAGATGTGGATAGACAAGAAGCAGGTGAGGTTCAACTCCATGGTCAGGCAGAGCACGGTGGAGAGACAGAATGGCAGAGAGCTCGGAGATCACAGTTTGCTGGACAACAATGCCAACGCTCCCCCTGAGATGGAAAATAACCATCTGAATAACTGTGACCTTGAGAACGGTGGCAGCGCTGCTACTGGCACGAGAAATACAATACCCAGCCAGAGTGGAGTGGGTTCACAGGAAGAGGATGGTGGCTGCCAAAACAAAGCCAGACTGGTACAGCGAGAGGATGGATCAAACAATGGTCACGGTGGTAAGGCTCATAACAGCAGTGAGTTCAAATCAACACCAAATCACCATTTGACGTTACTTCAATTAGAATGTTAATGTAAACCATTACAATATTACTAACATGCTTGTGTATTCTGCCTTTGCATGTACTCATACGCACACTATATTCATTATTGCATGTACTTTTGACTGATGCATGTACACCATGAAAAATACATGTGTAGAAGAAAATAAGGAAGAATCAGTTTGACAAATTTTCTGATGTTAATGTTATCTTAGGATGTCTCACTGAGTTTTTCTACATTGGTTTTCAAACACTAGTTTTACATCCCTGGATACATTACAAAGAACGTTTGTGTCTGAATTGTTGATGACTAAAAAATGCAAAAAGTAGAATTTATTTTCTGTGGAACATTCTGTCTAGATTTTTGTGAGATATAGCAATAAGGAAAAATAGCTAATGCTAATTGCTGTGTAGCTATGCAAACTAAGTTTTTTATGTATATAAAACAGTCTCCTCTGTAGCAGTATATACAGATGTGAAAGACTTTTAGACACTTATGTATCACAAGTGTGACTGAACCACATCATTTTGCACATTTTCTACTTTCAAAATAACACACCATGTTGCAAATAATATTTCTTTAATTCCATGCCTAAACTGTAGCAGCAGTATTGAAAGTTTCATTGACATTAGTGATCCAACAGCTGGTTACTGTCTTTGCAGATGTCTCTGAGCCCTCTCATTTGGAGCTCCTCAGCCCTGCAGGTTCTACACTGACTGCTGAGCATGAGCCAGGTAAGCTTATCCAGCTGAAGACAGAGTCTGACAAAGACTGTTCCTCTCAAGCTAACACCACAGACGAGCCCGTTGGACTTGACGATGGTGTTGAGGTTGGCTCAGAAGTAAGGCCGCCCACTGTGATCAGCTTGGACAGTTTATCCCTTCACGCCCTTTCACCGAGGCTGAGAAAGAAGCTGTTTGGGATTTTCAGAAGACAGAAAGAGAAAAAGCCAACTGTACAGAAAGAAGAGGAGAAACAGAAGAAACCTGGTCAAACTCAGATTTCCAACTCAGATGCTGCCGATACAAATGCAGCCAAACCTGCCACTGTCCAACATGAAGCTAATTATCATGAGAAGGCTGAGGTCAGAATGTTACCGCTCACAGCCCTCCAGAAAACTACATTTATAGAAGCAATGGAGGCTGGTGCTCAACAGGAAGTCACAGAAGACGAATCCCAAGAGGAAGCCAAGCAAGAAGACATCTCCAAGAAAGGGAGAGAAGTTCCTCAGGGCCTTCAGACAAACATCACTTCAGTTGATAACAAAACAACCATAACCACAACCCTGTCTTCACAGACTGTATGTGATTCTTCATCAAAAGATGGAGATACGTACAGAGCTAACCCAGTCCTCATATATGAAGAGGCAGACGACCTCCTCACAGTGCTGGAGTCAAAGGAAACTATAATCACACATGTATCTTCCTCTGTACCTGTTAGTGACCAAGAGCATCAGGATGCAGCTTCATCCTCTATTCTTCAACAGTCTTGTTCCAGTCCGTCAGAGGATCGACCAGCAAACATCAGTGAACTGAAACATTTCTGGGAATCTGAAAATTCTAGCTCCAGAATACCCACTGTGAGAAAAAAGGAAACCTCAAGTACCTTATCTCCTGGAAAGAAAGCAATTTCTTCACGGTCTGATGTAAAAACATCCTGCGATAATAGGAAGATGGTGGACAAGTCTGCGGTGTCTACATCCATGAGAGTGTCAGGGAAAGGTTTTGTCACTCAAAGTCCGAAAAGATCGCGGAGTACTTCTAGTCCTGTGAGCAGAATCAAGGCAGAAAAAGTGTCCAAAGCCAAATCCCCGAGCCCCAGTAAATTCAGAGTGCCTAAATTAAAAGACCAGGATGATGAAGTCCGAAAAAGCCCATCTAAGACCTGCCACCCAAGGGTTTTACCTCGAGAATCTTCCAGTCCAAAGCCATCCAAGCTGGAGGGTTCTCCTTTAAAAACGTTTCCAATTGACATTGACCCTCAGCAACAGGTGAGGTCAACACCAACGATGGAAGGACAGGGAAGAAGCCCCACGCATGGAGCAAAGCAAACCAAAACAAAGTGCAGTCCAGACTTCACCCCACATCCCCCACATCTACATCCAGAGGTCAGAGGTCACCACTTTCATAATGTGAAAAAGTTGCAAAGTAATGCAAGTCCATCCAGTTCACCAAAACCTAAAGCAGCTTCAGTGAAGAAAGCAGGGAGCCTGACATCTCTTGCCAGATCTTTCATCACTCAGGATTATCAGCACTTCCTTGGCCCGCAGGAGACGGCTTTTGCCCCTGCTTTTCACCAAGAGAAATTTGAATCACACAGACTGCAGAATGATGTCAGAGACTGTGTGGAAAACCTGAGCGACAGCCCAACCATGAGTAATCAACCCAGACGCACAACTTCCTGGGTTGCTCATAAGAACGATGGAAACTCCAGCCAGGAAACCACAACCAGAACCTGGTTGCTGTCTTGGGCAAGTTCAGGCAGTGAGATTTTGATTTCTCCCTCCCTTTGTCATCAAGAAAATAACAAAAACACAGAGATGTCTTCGTCGTTGATGATTTTCTTCACAAAAATCATCGAAAACTAACAAACTAACATCACCCTGTGTCTGATTTATCGTTCATCTGGACTGACCAAATCGTGATTTAAAAAAATCGTCATATCTGCATGTTGTTGTGTTTGTTGACTGACCAATGTTTTTGTGTTTCCTCTCCAGCAGATAAAAATCATTTAAAAACAAACGTAAAAATCAGTAGAAAACAAAAATGTTGCTGATGTTTTAACTGACGAGTGGAGCAGATATATTTTTTCAGAAGTATCAGTATATTAAAGCTGAACTTTAATGATTAGCATTCAAATTATTTCTGTTTGTTTACAGTTCTTTCATTACATGTGTGATTTGTGTTTTTATCTTAATGATAAGCGACCAGCTTACAGTCAAATCTGATTTTAAGTCAAAGTTCCACAGCTAACTGTTTTCTATTTGTGGCAGGTCACGATGACAGTCCAACCTCCATAGTGTCTGCCTTGAGACGACTGTCTTCAAGAATGTCTACATCCAAAAGCCTTGAGGACCTCTCCTCACAACAAAGTAATAGTACAGCTTCACAGTTCAGATCCTGGGGTTCAGGCTTAGCCCTGCAGAAAATATACAATATTTCAATAATGTTAATGTTTAATTATAACGTAAAAACTATGTCATAATTTTATTTATGCAACTGTTGATGCTGTTTTATATGTCCTTAGGTGAAGAGAGTAGAAGACAGGACTCAAGAGGACAAATTAATTTGAGTGTGGATGATGGTAAAAATATTATTTATTTTTTAACATTTCTTTAAATTATGGACTAAAACCTCTTTAACTGCACTGATGTTTTATTACAGATAAAAGTCAGTTAAATAGTCCTCTTATCAACATTAAGAGTAACATTTTCTGGCCCCTACCTATGCTATATTAACTATCAACATGCAGTAAGCAGTTCAGAAGATTCAGTTTTACAGTCATGTTGGACAGTAACAGTCGTGTCTTTCTCCAGTTTCTTCCCTTTCACCATCAGCCTCCTTCTCCAAGCAGCTGAAAACCAGTGTGTCAGTGCCTGTGCTCCAGGATGAGGTAAACCTCCATGACTGTGTAAACTGACTTTGTGATATCTGCTGTTCAATCTATTACGTCAGGTGATACATTTTTTACACTGCGGTCACTAATGCATTCAGGGTGCTCGTGTTTGTAGTGTGATGTAATTATGCTTTCGTGCACTTGATCAGGTGGACAGCGACAGCCCCTCTGAGACGACCATTGAATGTAGGAGAAACACAGGGAGCTCCACATCAAACATCAGTCTGTCCTCAGGAATGGCATCCATGTCGTCTGTACGTACACATGTGGTTTTCTACCTCATTTGGTGTATGTTGAGGATTAAAATGACATGTACAGTACATGTTTAGGTAATTTGTTAGTAGTACAAGAAAGTAAGGTAAATATATATATGTATATATATATATATGTATATATATATATATATATATATGTATATATATATAGTGAGCTCAGACATGGGAGAAAGGTCAAAGAAACAAACATAGGAGGGGGAAGTGAAGGAGAAAATGGTCATGGTAATAATGAGTTAGACTATGTGCTTTGGCGACCCCTTAAGAAAGGAGTGAACTATGTGTCGAGAAAACATTCAATAGGAATTGCAAGGTCTGTCCAATATTTAATTTCTATTCAGTTGTTATGCTGAATGTTATCGTTTTCACATCAAACATCAAAATGCCCGATATCCTGGGCTACATGCATTGTAAATCAGTATTAAGGCTTAAGGCAAAGTAACGTAAATATAATTGAATTGTGGTTAAAGCATTTCTTAATGTTTGTGGTTGTTATTGATCACTGATTTGATCCAAATATGGAAAATGAGCATGACAATGAAATTTGTTAAAAGCAGAGAAAAAAAAAAAGATTATAATATAATATCAGGTGAGCGGCAGCATGAGCAGCATCTACCCGACAGACTACGGTGACATCGAGGTCCAAGGAAACATCCAGTTTGCTATGAGCTACATCCAGAAACTGGGAGAATTTCACATCTTCGTGGTGCACTGCCAGGACCTGGCCGTGGGCGACACCAAGAAGAGTCGCACCGATCCGTGAGTGAATACATTACATATCAACACTTTTGTGATAAACTTTTGCCTTTATATTGTCAATGTCATCAAATACTTAATACTTAATACTTAATACTTCAGTCCATTAAAATATGTACCCTGTCTGTTTTATAGGTATGTGAAATGCTATCTGCTGCCTGAAAAAACAGATCTAGGAAAGAAAAAAACCACAGTTAAAAAGAAAACTTTTAATCCTGAATACAATGAAGTTCTCCGGGTAAGGATTTTGTTTTGAAATTCATCTCCCTTCCTATATTTAACGACATTCACCAACTTTGGAATTTCCCTCTCTTTTCACAGTTTAAAGTCAACAAGGAGGTGTTAAAAACACAAAATTTAAACGTCTCTGTTTGGCACAACGACACATTTGGACGGAACAGTTTTCTGGGTGAGGTGGAGCTGGATCTGTCAGAGTGGGACTTCAACAACACCCGTATTAATGAATACATGTTAAAATCCAGGGTAAGGCTGTCTTTTCTACAGCAAAAGATTGTCATGACATTTACTCACCTCCTCTCCTTACTGTTCAGGTGTCAGCACTAACCCCAGCGGGGTCTCCTTCACGTCTGAGGAACAGCAGAGGACGTATGCGAGTGGCCTTGAGATTTCTGCCACAGACGTCACACAGTGAGCTGAAAAATCTATATTCTCTGTCAGTTTTCTGCTCTATATTTCACTGATTGGGGTTTGACTGCTCCCACAGGTAAGAGTATCACTAGAACAGAGACCGGAGAAGTGCAGATCTGGGTGAAAGACTGCAAGGATCTCCCCGCAGCCAGAGGAGTGGTTATCAACGCCTTTGTTAAATGGTAAAAACATTTGCACGCTATCTGGCCGTGTCTCAAAAGATTCTTGTCAATAAAGGAAATAAATAAAGAATATATGTTGAATTAAATAATATTCAGAAAAAAGTGCATATCAATCAAAAATAAAATCTATGACAATAATGAGTCATGTTACGACACACTCTTAAAATCTACTTTGACTATTGAAGTCCTAACAACGTCCCAATCTGCGTCTCCCCTGCTCGTATGCAGCACTGTTCTGCCTGACACCAGCAAGAAAAGCCGGCAGAAGACACGCGTGGTGAAGAGGACGGCGAACCCTATGTTCAACCACACCATGGTGTACGACGGTTTTCGGTCAGAGGACCTCAGAGAGGCCTGTGTGGAGATCACAGTGTGGGATCATGACCGACTGAACAGTCAATTCATAGGCGGTCTGCGCCTTGGCCTGGGGACAGGTGAGACTCAGTTTTACCTACTGTCCAATATGTCTTCACCTGAGGGTAAAACGAATATAATTATACTAATGAAACAGATTTTAACAAAAGATACAATTACTATGTGTATTCTCACTGTCAGTCAACAATTTCCTACTAAAAACTAAAACTACAATAAACAATAAACGTTATTGTGTAAACCTCTCACTTCCTCCACCGCAGTCCACAAGGTTTTCTAAGGGTAGCATATTTATGCAAAACATATTCTTAAGGCATGAAACTCTGATAATTCAGATTCTTTTATCTTTTTTTAAGGTCTGTTTAAGAATTGTTTTTTTCTGCGCCTGAATGAAATCCATGTGTTCAGGTATAGATTACGGCGTGGCTGAGGCTAAGATTCCAATCCTGTTGTTCAAAAAACCTGCTATCTGCTTATTATTATTTCACATACTGTATATTGTTCCCAAGCAAATGTTTGTCCTCATGCAGCAGCCCTCGGCCCTTGTTTTTCTCAGCCTTGATTTATGTTTCAATGAATAAGAAAATAACTCTGGTGTGTTTGTCTGTGCAGGGAAGAGTTATGGGTTGAATGCGATCTGGATGGACTCGACAGCAGCTGAAGCTAATTTATGGCAGAGGATGTTAGAGTCTGATGGTGAATGGGTGGAGGATCTCTTGCCCCTGAGGATGTTTGGGATTGCAAAGTGCATATGAAAGTAGGAACAGACAGAGGAAGGAGAGGAAACTGAAAGTGGCCAAGAAGATGGGAGCTATATCTGGAATGGAATAGAAGCAGCAACTGTAAATAAGCCCCATGTAACTGTGTACGACTGATGGTTACTGTATAAGTTTGTATAATCCAAACTGCCTAGTAAAATTTAAACTATAATTTTTTTATGTTTCATGATTGACAAGAGATAAAGCAGATGACACAATTCAAGACGTAGACAGGCAACTAGTTTTGATTCCAACATATATTTTAATTTGAGCATTTGTAATGTGTACATAATTCTATCATAAAATGCAAATAATATTCCTAGCACTTGTCAATAAATAAATAATACATACATGTTAAAGCCTATGGTAGTAATTTTTAACTTTAAATCCTTTTTGTGTTCATTTAACCTCCAATTTATACATTTCCCCTCAAAGATGACCTTACTGTTCTTCAGCCTTGGTTTATGATGATGTTTTAAAGGGGTAGGTCAGTTATTTTGTGATTTCATTGTATGATGTAGCAGTACACGGTCAGCATTTCATGTACAGCTGACTGTGCTCTGTGACGTGGAGAAGCAGCAGGAACATGCAGGTGCACACTCAGTGGAAACATGGCTGCCCGCAGAGAGAGAGAGAGAGAGAAAAAGAAATTAAATCCTCTTCCTTTCCTCTACCTATAAGGTGTGACATAAACATAAAAATGTTATGCCTATAATTTAAGAAAACTAAACAAACATCGTGTGACCAAGTTCCTGACTGTCTGCTCACCTTTTATTACAAAAAGCGAGATCTTCTGTAAACTGAGAGGTTCTGTCATCGTAACCTGACAGGCATTACAGTTAATGTTCATTTTACAGTTAAACTGTAAAAAAATAAAAATAAATAAAAGACTGTACGTCATTCACTTAGCTTCTAATCCACTGCTGCTTCCGTTGGTGCGATAAAAATATGACTTTGTACTTTTGTGTCAACAGCAATTTATAGGTGGACCTTCTGTTGTTGTTTTCACAGAGCCACTGCCAACTTATACAATCTGTTTCTCAGCATGGGGCAGCAAACAATAGTGTCAGCTGTAAACAAGAACACTGTCATGACCTCGTACGACCTTATTCTTAAAACACAAACTTGGAGAGATTAGATAAAATGTAGGTTGGACACGTGACTTTTTAAATTACAGTAGATTTACCGTCAGATGTTTGTACGGATTACACATTTTTGATCAGACACAGACTACAATGTTGTGCCTTTTAATTTAGCCCCGCAGTAATTTTACTGCATCGCAGCAATTATTTGATGTTGTGTTAATTGACAGAGACTGTGTTTTTCATTTAAGCTTAAATTTCCAAGTGACAAGGATCTATTTGTAATTCAACAGTTACTAAGGTGATAATCAATATTAACTTTAAATTCACGTTTTTTATTTGTATGTTTATATGTGTTATTCTTTTTGTGAGATGTTGTGGTTTTGTGACTGGGTTTACGTGAAATAGTAACAATGACAAAAGCTGCATTTCTACCAGCTATTTGTTTTGAAATTACATTTGCAAACACCAGGAGAAATTATGTTGTTTGTCCTTTCAGTATTTGTAATTTTACTTGTTTGTCTATCAGCAGTACTAACAACATAAAACATCACATATGACATAGACATTTGTTATTCTTAATTCTTAAATATTAATAATTCTGCAATTTTTTAAAAGTTGCCTCAATGGTACGTGATTATGATTTTTAATTTTTGTATTACCACTTTACATTCAATGCTGCAGAGTTTCATGTCTCACCTTTACACAGGTCTGAAGCTTTCCCATTGGTTACTTTGCCCGGATGCGACAAAAAATCCCACACTCCGATTGGCTGATGCTGCTTGTCAATCGACGCAGTAACCAGCTAACCAGTTCACAGCCTCTGCGTTGCTAAGGTAAGTTCAACAGCTGCGTCAAGTTTGCTGTGTTTGGCACCGAGGTCAGACGTTTAGACCCCTTCAATTTATAAGCATCAATTTTGATATGGGACGCGTAGAAATAGAGAATAGATTTAATGTCTTTGCTTTTGCAGTTATAGGTAAAGGCAACAAAAAGTAGTAAAAATAACTGTGCAGTGAGAGGTTCAAAACGACGAGGAAAGTCAGTTGTCTTATTTTGAAAGACCTTAACGGAAGAGGTTCCGTTTGCTGCGGTAAGCTTGTTGGCGCCGCTTCAAACTGTTGGTGAGGCGGCTGTCAGTTAGTATGGCTAACGCTACGGCACAGCACCTGGAGAAACTATGAGGAGATGTGGCTGCTCCAAGGACGGCGCTCGTCTGTCAGGAGACTTTATTCTACATGCACTTGCACCAGTTTGTGGAATATGATGAAAATACATGGAGTCATTGAGAGCCATACGTTGACTGCCACAGTTGGCAGGCAGGTATTCTCTGCTACAGCCAGGCAGGAGGCGTCGCACTGGAGGGAGAGCATAATTTCACTTGGCACCAGCAGTGGTTGCTGATGTAGCATGGATGCTAGCTGACTAATGAACTATTGAAGACTATTGTATTTTTTAATCTGTGCTTTAAAGATTAAAATGGCCAGGCAGTGTAAAAAGGCCTTTGTTTTCATTGCATGATTTGTCATTTACCGCCTGCCCCCCACCTCTCTCTCTCTCTCTCTCTCTCTCTCTCTCTCTCTCTCTCTCTCTCTCTCTCTTCTCTCTCTCTCTTTCACACACATTCCTCCATCACTCCCAACTTCCACTCAGTAAGTCTGACGTGACTGTGACGTTTTCTTGGGTTCTTTTTTTTGTAGTAAATACAAAAAAGCCACACACTTAACATCTGTTTTATATGAAAAAAAAAACAGTGTGTTGAAAACTTTAGAAACACACTGCAAGGGGATGAAGACCAGCTCCTCAGACACAGGTTCGACCCAGCAGTGGCACATCACCCCAGCTGCAGGGCTCTGTGGACCAGGGAGGGAGTGCCGACACCTGGGCTAAACACTCAGACTGTCTCTGAACACACACAGGACCGGAAGAAGGGAAGAAAGACTCGGTGTGTGTCCAGCCGTGTTGGACCAGCACTGAGTCAGTCATGACAAGGCACTTCTGTGGTCTGACATCTCTTCAGCCAGTGGATGTGTTCGTGAAGTGGACCCAGACCTTATATGCATTTACTGTTCAAACGGAGCTTCCCTTCTTTACATGCAGGAGTACAGAAGACTTTATCTGAGGCATCTGTGGATAATAGTTGCTTCTTTGCACTGGAAAACATAATACACCAACATCTGGACACAAATCCTGTACAGTATCCTTCATGGCTTGTTGAGTCATTTATACACTGGACTTCTCGAAATGATCTTCTGCTCTTATATTTTTCAAAGATTTTTTTTTTTATCATGGACTGAAGGCTGAACTGTAGCAATAACCGGAGTCAGACGCACACTGAGTCAGCCATGCCTATCAGAAAAAAAGGTGAGTTGCTATAAGTTTCCAGCAGTGATTTGGAAAAAGTTCTATAGTTCTATGTGCAAAAATATTTTGGTTAGTTGGAGAAGTTGATAGAGCAATGTAAAGTTAAAGGAAAATATGTGTTATTTGATTTTTGTAAACCCTAAACTTCCTATCCTGCAGGGATAGCATTTGTAATACTCTGATTCATTGGTTTTGAATCCTGGTAATCCTATTTGATGTAGATGTAATCCTGAATCTACATCAAATCATCTTTTCACATGAATATGTAACATAATTAGAGGTACCCACAAGGAAGTACCACTATATAAACAGAATGCATCTCAGGCATGGAGATTTTAGGGGCTAGTTTAGGTTCGTTCAGCTCTATTCTTCTGCGGAGCTGTACATGTCCAACAATTGTTTAATTGTTTAACAACATCAACCAGAAATGTTTTAAAATATCAGACAAAGTACAAAACACAAATTACAGTTAATTACAGTAGTCATGTTGGCTAGGTTAAGCTAATTATGCTACAACAATTTTTGTAGCAGTGAATACAAGTATTTCCACCCAGAAATGCAATGGAAAAACCAGACAAGCAATTCAGACAGAAGGCTGGGGTCCTGCCAATGTAAACAGTAGAGTTTACTGTTTGGGTTTTATAGTACATGACTCTTCGTTTACAGGAAATTCCTTCAAACTTTATTTAGAAATATGTACAGATCAGACATTGAAAACCAAGGATAATATTTTTTTAAAAGGGTTATGAGGAAAAATCTGTGTGAACTCACGAAAGAACCACAATAGACCATTAGGTGCACAACAACCACAGAATCTGACCACATTCTGATAGTAACTGTTCAAAAGAGAACACAAATGTTGATGTTCTCATCTGTGCTTGTAAAGCAGGCCTTAAAGAAGGAATTAACTCATCATAATTGGACATTTAAAAACTTTGAACAAAATCTAGATTGCTGGTCAAATAAAAACAATCTTTGAGATGTCTGATCAAAATTTAATACGATACATTCAATTATTTGCATTAGTTTTATTTGCTTGTTGCTCTGTAACCAGTGTAGTGGTCACAAATAGGGTAGCCTCAGACCAACAACCTTCTATGTAACAATTATGATACATTACATTATAGCCAAAGCATTCAGTCAGGGCCTGTGTGCTGTTTGTATGCTGGGATGGACTGGTAACACTCACGATAACTTGGCTAGGATTATTTTTTTATTTTTTTGTAGAAGAACTAAAGTAAAGTTCTGGGTATTATTTCCCTGTGGTTGACAGACACAGCTCGAGCTTTGGGACTTTTAGAGGAGTACTGCGTTAAACTGAAAAATCCAGAGGAGCAGCAGCTGAAAACTGCCATTCAGAGAGTGATGGACATTTTCAAAAGCAACCTGTTTGAAGCCCTTCTGGGTAAGTAGTGACCAATAACTCATCTTCAGCAAGTGGTGATTAACTTTCTACATGCTTGATTCATATGGACTAAAATAACATTTTGGTTTCATAAAACATTAACCCCTGTCAACTGAGGGTTTTCTGTGGAGATATACAAATTCCTAATATATTGGGGAATGTAAATTAAGTAACTAATTTACCCCATACTGTATATTAATGTGCCCACATACAGTCAGTTTTATTGTCTAAAGTTTATTTTAACATTCATAGTGTACTGTTACATGTATCTAAAACTCAAACACTTCTCTTCAGTTTTCTGTAGGCAATAGATTTGTGTGTGTGTCTCTCTAGTATGTACTGTAGATGCAGTACTGTTAATGCACTGTGTCCAACCACTCAGCAGCAATTGTCTGTCCATCTGAGACCAGGACATGTTTCACCCTGCTCATAAAGTGCAATGTTACAGGTCAGAAGTAGAGTGCACTGGCAGACAGTGGTTGAGCCGTGTCCAGGCGTGTGGGCTGACCTCATGATCTGCATGATGCTAAGAGCTCCAACCATTTCCTCTATGTGCATTTAGAATAGAAAAAAAACCAACCCAAACCATGCAGTGGAGCAAGACATGAATTCAGCTGATTCATCAAATTTGTATATTTCATATTTGTTAGGTCAAACGGAGACTGTTTTCCTTAAGTCCCTGTTTGTGTGACATAACCTGTGTTTTGTAATATTTTTAATTTAATATATAGTTCTACTTTTTTAGCTACCACATTATACAATAATCTGTCACTTAATCTCCATGTCCTGTTCTGGTATTTGAAGGGGATATAGTCCAGCTCAAGGTCACTTGATACACAGCCACACCATTGTGTTGACCAACCGTTTCGCAACATTTAGTTAATGTTTGGATTATGTTGAAATATCTAATCTTTCAGTACATTTGAATGCTTATGTAATATTTCCTAGCAGATGTGTCCAAGGAATCTT